TACATAGGTGAGCAAGCAAGTAAATATTTATGAAAATGTTAATATGTTTAAATGCTATTTTAAAGGTGCCAGTTGTACTTTTTGATATCAAGAAAGTTGTGCAGTCCATTCAGCTCAGTAGTCTTTGTGAAGAAGTGTGAATTGTTTTCACAGCAGGTGGTTCTCACTGCTCCTATTTGAGCTCTCACTGCTCGCAAGCAGCTCAACATAGAGTGGCAATATTTTACGCTCATAGAGCCAACAAGGTCCTAGTTCAGGGGTTCTCAACCTTTACCACCTAAAGGCCCACTTGTTGATAGTGAGAAAGCCTAATAAAATGTTTTTTCAAAGTGCCTACACTGAAAATCTGACATATTCAGACTGTTTTTCGAATTGACTTGCAGTTTTCTTCAGAGAACAGTTCAGTTGTTGGGTGCGGGCCTGAGTACAGGTGGAGTGTTCACACCAACAGAACAGAATGAACTAAAGAAAAAGTTTGATAGGTCCACATCAAACAAGGTAGCTGTAAATGGCCCTGTGAAGCTTGTTCATCTCTGGCTGGCTAAGTGTCTGCATCGCGTGGCTGCATGGTCTCAAACACAACATTTAATTAGCCTACTACTGCAGTGTGTTTATTTGTATGTCTCTATTAATATTGATATTGGTCATTGATTTTACCTTTATTACTTGAAGTGCCGTTACCTCAAGTGGACCACAAGAGGATGCTTTAAGACCCACTTGTGGTCCACGGCCCAGTGGCTGTAAGATGCTTCCCTAGTTAATCTGATATCAGATTTATGAATTGTATTTGTTTTTATTAATTACACAATTTCAGATTTCCGGAATGGCCACTAGGTCATGATGCACGTGACGTACGTGATTCATTCCCGTGACGTTACTGAGTAGGATGTCGCGCATGCGGATCATTCCGGGACATTTTCATTCACATTAATGACAGATTTGAATCACTTACCTAAACGAGTGTGAACCATCATGTCAGAGAGATCGGATTTGAGCAAAAAATCGGATTTGAGCAATGAGGCTTGTAGCAAAAATTGCATACGTATTTGTGTATCCATCAGACTTCTTACTTTGGTTTCTTGAGAGAAACTTATTGCTTTGAGAAAGTCCAGTAGGCATACACACTAATTGTCCATTCATAAAAAAATCTAAGCAAATTTAATTGAAAATTTGTTTAATTGAGTGGTCTCGACAACCATAATGGGCATTTATTATTTACACATTGAACAAAAGGTTAATCAATACTGTGAAAGACATCACAGATGTCCTAGTTTACAGCAAGAGTAAAGGTGGCCCAGGTGTTATACTCATTCAATATCTCCTATTGACCAGCAGAAATCAGCAGCTGTGTCTTTTATTGTTAACTGGCTTGTGAATCTGGGCCTGTGTCAGGCTGCCATGTCTGCAAGTTCTCTGGTTCTTTTCCCATGAGGCCCCATGCACACAGTTGTGCTGATTGACTAAGACAAGCTCTGTTCGGTAGCTTTTCCAACCGGTTGGATTCTTAAACTCATAAGTGATGCCCTTCTTGTACTGATGGGATGGATACAAAGGTAGCTGCTGAACTCGTTTTTTGTGTGGTATTGATGTGCAATCAAGAGTTCCCAGCAAAATCATTGCTGGTCCTTGCCATGGCTGCAGTTTATGGATTTGTACCAGTTTGAGATGGATTATTATCTGCTTCCCATATTCTGTTCTCAAAGTTTGGAAATGTGATTAGGTTTAAATAATGAAAGATAAGGTACATACAAATATTATTCTTTTTCTGCTGTGTTGATACTCCAGTGAGGATTTGTAGCTATTTATAAGCACAAAAAAGTAAAATAAATAAATAAACACTGTTTATTTAGTCTGATGCCTTTTTAGTGCCAGACTTGGGCACATATCAAATGAATTATAAGAGCATGTCATTAGCTGTGCTGTTGGCTTGTGTTATTAGAGTGCTGTGTGCTGGTCTAGAAAGTTTACTCGTGCATTTTGCCGTTCCAAGTATATTGAAGTGCATTTTGCGGATGGATCCTGTAGAGCTAACTGGTAGCGTGACACGGTTCATCATAACAGGAGCAGCTCATGTCTTAGATGGCACACATCAGTCCAAACTGATTTTTAGCATGTCAGTGGTGGAAAGTCCAGGAAAGTGTGGAAAATGATATGGCTGGAATCTATTCTTTTTTATTTATTTATTTTCCCCCTTGGCTCCTCTTTTACTGAATACCGTGAAGGCATGTTCTCCTGTACTGAAATTTAACTTAACTGTATAGTCCTCGGATACATACTGTATAGTCAAGAGTTATTTAAAAAAAAGCCTTGTGGTAAATAAGCTGTGTTGCAGGGTCAGACTTGGTGTAAATGCCTCTGCAATGTGGATGAGGGTGAAATTGTTCTAACAATAAAAAAGGGATTAGGGATAATCTGCTCTTAAATTCCGTTGGCCTTTATTCTGCATGCCTTTTACGTTCCTCTCTTTCCCTCTGCATTCTGTGTTTATTGGAGGCTATTGGAGATATTTTAGGGCATCCTTCTTTTATGCCCATGCCTGGTTTCCTACTTCAGCAGCTTTTTTTACGTCTCAGACAGAAAGAAGCCGCTGAACCTGACCTCAGTCGATTCTGTTTTCATATGCCTTAGGCTACGTTCACATACTTTGCAGAGACCATTACAATAGTGAAACAATAGGCCAATTTAGCTGGCATTTCTTTTTCCTTCTTGGCTACTGTTGTTGTTTTATTTGTCCCTAGAAGGGTGAGCAGTGTCTTTCATCATGGAGGACTTTGTTGACCCTCAAGGGCAGTGGGGAAATGAGAAAAGATGTAGATGGGAAAAGATGCCATCCTCACCAATCAATAGGGCTGTTTGGTAGTCTATGCTTGTCTGTCAGAGGAGCCTGCTATCTCTGTCCTGTGCAAAACAACAGACACACTCTGAATATTGAGAATTTGGTGGGGTATGATTCTTGTCCACAAGTGATCTGATGAACAGCAGAGTCTGACTGAAAAATATCAGTTAGCCAGCATTGTTAGTCGATACTGAGGCCCTGAGGATTTATCAGCAGCAATCCTGATGATAAAACACCAATATTTTTTAAAGAAATTCTGCAGAATTAAATCACTGATACGGAAACGGTCATTCATACGTTCTGATGTGAAATGATTACTTGTAGAAAATCTTACTGACTCAGATTTCTTTAAAGTAGTGATGATGGGAACCAGAGTGATCTTACAAATATAATGCAAATAAAGGCATTTTATTTAATATTCAAAATGACCGATGAACCTACACATTTTCTGAGTTTTTATTTGTAAAGTTGATAATGGTAAAGTAGTGGTAAATGTGAGCAAAATGCACTGTCTAGCCATTTTATTAAGTACATTTACCTTGTATCTGCACTTATTGTCCATTTTATCAGCTGCCCATATCAGTGCACTTTGTTATTCTACAACTGGAGTCCATCTGTTTCTCTGCATTCTTTGTTAGTCCCCTTTTACCCCGTTCTTCAATAGTCAGGACCCCCACAGGACCACCACGGAGCAGGTGTTATTTGGATAGTGGATCATTCTCAGAACTGCAGTGACACTGATGCATTGGTGGTGTGTTAGTGTGTGTTGCGCTGGTTAGTTTCCACTTGCTGTCCACTCTGTTAGACTGCAGCAGCACTGCTGTGTCTGATCCACTCGTACCAGCGCAACACATGCAAACCATGTCAGTTTCACTGCAGTGCTGAGAATGATCCATCACTCAAATAATACCTGCTCCGTGTTGGTCCTGACCACTGAAGAATGTGGTAAAAGGTGGCTAACAGAGTATGCAGACTGCGGTCTGTGATTGTAAAACTACAAAGATCACCTAATTGGTAATTGGACCTGATAAAATGGACAATGAGTGTAGATTCATGGCAGTGTACATAATGAAGTGGGTGGTTGGTATAAGCTTCTCTGGGTACTATTTTGGCTTACAGCCCTGCATGTACTTTTTCACCCTGCAAATGTTTTAATAATCTGTATATGTTTTAAAAATACTGACCAAGATCTTATCTCAGAACTATGGTACAAGAACGTCTAAAGCATCAGGGCAATGTATTTGTAACCATATCATGTAATAGTTTTCGCTGAGGCAGGTTTTACAGGCATTAAAAGCTTCAGATGTCTGGTTCACATCACCTCTGCTACGAACAGTTCTCTCTTTCTCTCTAGTTTTCTCTAGAATGACACATAATATAGACGCGAATAATACAGAAATGTAGAACAATCGGGAGAATTCCTCTTTAATGACTCTATATTGTAACAAACAGAAGCTCTGGTGTGAGTACAGCTATTTGATTTGAGAACTGATGAAACAGAAGAGCTACTTAACAAAAACAACAAACAGCTAACAATTCTGGGAAGCTCTGCCAGAGGGGGTTAAGATGTTTCTAAGTATTAAAGATGTTGTTGTGAGTTTTCTGCTGTTAGTAGGAATGAGAACCGGAAATCATATTTGACAACTTATAGTTAGCAATTAGCTAGCAGTTAATTCAGTCATGTGGGTCACTATCATATGAGTACATAACGCACTGTTTTTGTGTGTGAACATTTTTTTTTATTTTCTAAGCTGAACAGAAAACAAAATGCACAATGACAGCATACATAGAAATAACAAATGCTCTCTCACCAATCTTCCTCCCTCCCATCCATCATAACGCACTGTTTAAATAAAACTATCTGACTCTGTTTAAAACATATTAATTTACACTGGCTGATATTAGCAGTTTACTGAATATTTGTCTCCTAAAAATCTGTATCGGTTGACAATATTGGTTCATATTAGCCAGTGCCAAATCAACAGGGACATCAATTATACATTGTATTTAGTAATGTCTGGGGTCTTTTTCTCCATACAGTTTGTATTTAATAGTATGGAAAGTCTAATAATATGTCTTACAGCCATTCATGTGCAATAATCCTCAACACCGGTTGATCCTTTCCACTTCCACACTCTAATTGGCCTCCTACTGTTTATTGCAGAGGTGGACTGATTGAGAAATGGAGCGGTGACCATCCTAATGGTCCCTGAGCCGCTACACCTGCGAAGCTGAGTCACAGAAGTGGTCACGGTTCTTTGAATTGGTAAGTCAGTGCCTTTGGGTTTGGTTCCTGATGACATGCTGAATTTAAGCCTGTTTCTTGTGGTCATACAGTGGCCCCTTTTTCCATGACTTTGTTCTCATGCCAGTCACATTCTTCTTATTGTCTAATTTCACATGGTTGAAATAATAAGCCTTGCTGGCATGACAAGTCAATCTGCATAATTTTGTGTGAGGTTGCCGAGGTCTTTGCATACAATCACACTGATTTGTTTGCCACGGCTTTGTTAAAACATATTTATATGCAGATGAAGACATTTAGCTGGCATTAAATCATAACCACTCATTCACTAGAGGCCTCAAGTTGTGTAACCACTATTCTGCTTCTACAAAATGCCCAGTTTCTCATCCTTTAAGGTTTAACCATTTTTAAGGTGTTTTTTAACGCAGGAAATGGGAGGAGTGGTTGACAGTGTAGTAGATCCCCAAAGGCTTAAACATGGCGACGTTCAAAGACTCATACTCAACAGCCAGGAGCAGAACTTCACACAGATAGACATGATGTAATGTGCACGTGCCTTACCTATTTTTAGCAATGTCATTTGAAATTCTGGTTTAGACTGAAACCTTCATGTTTTCTTAACTAAACTGTGTCTCACCACCAGTTAAATTGGTGTTTGTAAATCTTGTTTTTCAGAGTGTAAAGTCTCAGGCCTCCACATTAAGCATTACAAGCACTGTTTCTTCAGTTCAGCATGTACATTGTTTAACAAATTATAGTCGGAAATGGAACGTTTGCTCTTGTACTGTCATTGGAACGGTGGAACAGGCAGTGTGAGCTAAATACTTGTTTTAGCTACTTTAAAAACAATCCAGATATAGAGGACAAAGAGTAAAAGACAGCTGGCTTTGGAAATTACATTATAATATTTTTAAGCCTTTTGCTGAGGGTGTTATTCATCAAGAACATATTGGCGTGCCCTGGCATAAACCATAAAGATTGATTGTTGATTGGCTGCAAAGTGGCTTGTGCAGTCCCCCTCAGGTGCCTTTTGCTGTTTCTCTGTCTTAGAAGAGTAAGCTAGAGATTTTATTTATTGGCCTGAATCCAGAATCCAGTCCAAGGTGTAGTTAGCTGTCCAAGTGCAGTGTATCTTTCTCTAGTGGGTTTGCACCACATAACAAGTCTATCCTGTCTGGATTAAATTGGACATATGCACTGGATACACTGCAAGTCTCTTGTATGCACTTAAACATGTGTATTCTAAAACGTTTGTAGGAAATTATTAAGGAATATTTGTTTTTACACTTTAGTTTACAGTAGTTCTTTCTGAATGCAACCTTATTTTCTTCTGCTGCATCCATTATATTGTCTCTGCCATCTAGGTATAAAGTACAGTCATGTCTCTTGCTCCTTGTGCAGTTTGCAGTTCTTTTTCTTGAAGAAAGGAATTTCAGATTTCAGCCAGATTATCCACATGAAGCTTGCGCATTACAGACTTGGTTTGGCATCGCTTTTGGAAGGAAACAAGGAATTGTAATCATTTTAACGTTTCCAGGCAACAAATAAACAATATTTTTCTTCTGGAATTTATTTCTTTGGTATTTGTATATTTTCGTTTTTCTTTTCCGACGCTGGTATTGAATTCATGACTACTAGTTGATACCAATACCGATCCAACATTTTTTTTACTTTAAAACCTCTTAAGTTTAAAAACAGCTATTTTTAACAGAAGCACTTCACTTAAGATGAGCATCTATAAGTAAGCTACTTAATCACTCTACTACCCCACAGGAAGAAAAAACACAACTAATATCATCACTTCATGTCAGGGCTCTTTTTTTTAGAACTGTCCCAGAACTGCCCCAAAATATTTAATCAGCTGTCCCCAAGTAAAAACTGACTATGCAAGATAGATGGTTAGAAATGCTTTGTTTATATTAGAGTTCTCACTGGAATTTTTGCGCTGACATATTGCTAATTCCCAAAAACGACAAATAGATAGCAATACACAACATACATGGACACATTCATACACTTAAACAAATACATGCCAGCAACACATTTTTAAAAAAGTTGTGACAGGTGCATGTTTATCATGTGCTGCATCACTTCTTCTTTTAAGAACACTCTGTAAGCATTTGGGAACCGTAAAGACCAACTGCTGTAGTTTTACAAGTTACAAGAATGTTTCCCATTCTTGTTTGATATAGGATTTCAGCTGCTCAACAGTTCAGGGTCTCCTTTATCGTATTTTTTTTGTTTCATAATGCGCCAGATGTTTTCAATGGGTGACAGGTGTGGACTGCAGTCAGGCCAGTTTTGCCCCTGGACTCTTTTTACGGCAGAGCCCTGCTGTTGTAATATGTGCAGAATGTGGTTTGACTTTGTCTTGCTGAAATAACAAGGTCTTCCCTGAAAAAGACATCATCCGGATGGCAGCATATGTTGCTCCAAACCTTTATATATTGTTCAGCATTAACAGATGTGCAGGTCTCCCACTTTTCCACTTTGCCTCAGTCCACGTTAAATGAGCTCGGGTCCAGGGAAAGTGGCGGCGTTTCTCAGTCCTGTTTATATGTTTTCTTCTTTGCATGGTAGAGTTTTAACTTGAATTTGAAAATGAGGTGATGAACTGTGTTCCCAGACAATGATTTTTGGAAATGTTCCTGAGCCCAAGCAGTGATTCTCACTGCAGAATCATCTCTGTTTTTAATGCAGTGCCGTCTCAGGGCCCAAAGATCCAACCATCCAGTATTGGTTTTCGTTTGGAACCAAACTGTGTACTTGAAGTGCAAAACCATTCACTTTAAATTCAATTTTTTTTTTTGCAATAATTCGTAGAAGTATTATATATTGATGCTGGAATGTACAGAGTGAATTGCAATGGCCACCAGAAATAAATGTTTATAATTATAAACAAATTATAAACAATTATTAATATTTGATTTGTCATCATTTGTGGCAGCCTTTAGAATAAGGATAGGACAAGATTATCACTGCATGCAAAAAAATTGTGAATCGACTCAATCTTTAGCTTAATGCTAATATTGCATAGAAATTCCCATTGATGGGTTAATGGAAATTAGGATTCTACTAACAGTGGAAATTTGATGGGGGGGAAAAAAAGTAAAGTGTAAAGTATAAAGTGAATTAAAAGCCATTTTTGGGACAACAGAACAGAGTTAGTCTGGAAACCTGACGTTACATAATGTGAGTGAGCGCTATTTCAGACTAAATTTGTTATAGGATTGGATTTGATTCTTTATTTTTTTCATTCCAATATCCCATCCAGCATTTTCTGCTGATTTCGGCCCGACACCTGGTGTCGAATCGGTGCCATCTATATTCTTAAATGCAACATTTTTTTTTAAAAACTCCCACTCTGTTTGTGTCTCACAGAGACAAACATGTAAGCAGTGATGATTCATCAGGTTTTATTCCATTTAAACACCATATGGTGCTGGGTTTGTCTTTGGTGTTCAAAAGTGATTCAGCAGCGTTTGTTGCTCATTTGTGGTTGTTGTCACTTAGCTTGAATTATATTACTTTTGCATTGGACCTCCTAACGACATCAAAAAAGCTATTTGTAGCTATTTTAGCCTGGCGTCTTAAACCCAACTCTAGTTCCTATACGGTATTAATTTTATGCCAAGGTTTGTTATTTTTGAAAAGGTGTGGTTGAATATTAAAATGAAATATCTGATGCTCATCCTGTGTTTAATTTATTTAGAGTAGCCGTATCCCGCTTTAAGATTCTGCTCCCTTAAGAAATGTTATATTAAATATTTATAGTGCACTACATTCATAGGCTGTTTTGCAAACATTGATATTGAACATAACGGTGGGCTGTTCTTTACTGAAATTTGCTAAAGAAAGACCAATTTCACTGTACCTCTGATCAATGGACTGTCCAACTTCCTACACTCATAAACATCACATATATCTTACTGACAATAAATCAGTGTGTGGGTTAGTCACTGGAGGAATAAGGCTATTGTATTGCTGATGAATTCTGAAAGCGGGGGCATGAAGGAATAATGATGACAAAAAAGCTTATTTTTCCAGACAGGCCTACGCTTTGCAGAAATATGCTGCTTGATCTGGATTAAAGCACAGGTGCTGGGTGCAGCAAGGATGGGCCCAAGAATAGTTCTGCCTTGATTGTATCAATAAGCTTCCATCAAAGCGCTTGAAAGACAGCGTTCTTTACACAGCTTGAGGATAAACTCTGAGCTGTACTGTGAGATGCAGATGGATATGGCTGGGCTCTGGTGCCCCAACAGCTGCTCTGCTCCCTTCCTTGCTTTTTTTTCCTTTTTTTTTTTTAAAGAGTATTCTGAGGATTTATTTTGGCAGGTCGTCTGTTTGCTTATTGTCCACTTTTAGGGAATTCTGCTTTTGATAATGAATTTTTAATGAATAAAGGGAAATTAGACCTTAACCAACAAATAAACAACTATTCAGTGCTATGCGTTCTTAGCAAAAAGGGTTCTATATAGCACCAAAACAGGGTTCTTTGGCTTGTAACAATAGTGGAACCCTTTTTGGTGCTTTATCGAACCCTTTTCAACAAAGGTTCTGTGTACACATTCTCGATTAATCTGAAGAACCCTTTCATCTTACAAAGAACCTTTAATCATGCAGAGGGTTCTTTGAGTGTTTATAGTTCTATATGGAATCATTTTCTTTACTAAAGAACCCTTGCAGAACCTTATTTAAGAGTTAAAAAAGTTAATTTTCCAATGAACAACTGTTCCTGTTTGAACAGGCGTGTTTACCATTCAAGCTGAGGAACGTTATTGAATTGTACCTATGGGGCACCTGTGAGGCAGTTGGTTATCCTAGATGATGTTCCATATGAAAAGAAAATGTGCATTTCATCCTTGTTCTTTAAGAGAACGTGTATTGCGCGGTAGTGTAAAGAAATCACTGATGGAGGTATAGAATTATATAGAATTACGTGGTAGACAGTGCTGGTTTTCAAGAACTACTGAAATATGGACAAAGTTAGCCACAGTCATGGCCTTTGTTACTTTTAC